CAAAGTGAAGGAGCCCAACCCGCCAGAAGAGGCGCCAGCGGATGTGCCGGCCCAAGCTGCTTATTCGCAGCCCGCCAGCACCGTGCCAGGGACAGGCTGGGACCAGTTTTCTGTTCCATCTGCTTCTGAGGACAACAATGCCGAGACATCGACGAGTGGCGGAGGTCGCCGCGATTTGTCCAATATTGGGCTGGGGGAAGATGATGCACAGGGACGGGACACGCTGACATACCAGCGTCCTGCCATGGATGTATTCAAAGCCATCTTTGCCAGCGACGACGAGGATAGCGACGATGAAGGTAACAACGACAAAGACGACGAACCACCGACGCCCGCGCCGGCTGAGCCCTCGCCGCCCCAATCAGTTCCCGTTCCAGAAATCGTGATGACCGCTCCAGAGGTATCTGGACCGGTGGATGTCGCAACCTTTAAGCCGACGTTTATTCCTCGCGAAGGGAAGGCAAAGAAGGAGTCGGATTCGGATCGCGGCAAGGAGAAAAAGGAGAAGAAAGACAAGAAGAAGAAGGAGAAAAAGGTGCTTGTGTCGTTTCAGGCGGATGAAGAGGACGGCCCCCTGGAGATCTCTCCGGCGAAGGATCGACCCAAGAAGAAGCGCCGGAAAGAGAAAGCGCCTGACGATGAGGATTCCATGTGGGTGGAGAAACCTGCCCCGGGCGTGGTGAAGTCACTTTCCGTTGCTGCCCCGACGGAACCACCAATACAAGAACCCCAAAGTTCGGAGACTTCAGCGCCTAAGGGCCGTAAAAGGGCCATCGACTTCATGTAGCCAGACCATTGTATTTGTTGGCCCATCCGTTATACGGTTCACACTGGAGTCGCAGTTGAGTTGGCAGCTTTCTATGACAAAAGAAAGGTGGTAAGTAGACAAGGAACATATTATGGAAGGCAGAATGAAGGCGAAAAAAAAGGAGACTGGCCATCGTGGGGGTCGAACCCAAGACCTTCGCGTTATTAGCACGACGCTCTAACCAACTGAGCTAGACGGCCGTTATTTCGGTTGCAGATCGTAGATTTATCATAAGACGCTAATAAAAATAAGCCATCGATTTATATTCCTCGGTTTCTCTCCTGCCTCTTACTTCCAGGGGGCGACCACTAAAATTATTTCCTAAATCGGGTTGTCCTATGTTCTAGTATTTGGCTTTTGATGCACGTGAGCGGCAAGTCGGGGCTACATCAAGGCCATCAATTCGGGTACGCCCTTTGAACTTAGATGTCGGATAGTTATGCACCCTTACACGGTTGAGCCCCGCGGGATACACCTGGGGATGGATGGGGTGGTCTCCAGGGGGTTTGGAGAAATTCCTGTACTACTGAAGCCTCTGGGTGTCTCTGCCTGCTCTTTGGGGACTGTGTTTTTGGATAAGAGGCAGAGTGCAGGTATTCAGAGCCAGTCTCTGAATGGCCATCATTGTAGATACTCCTAGTGGCGATTGAAAAAGAGAAACACAGGCACAACGCGTGTATATAGAACGCGTTCATCTCATTAGCGCGTACCCGAATTGATGGCCTTGATGTACCGCCGACGTGGATCAAAAGCCAAATACTAGAACATAGGACAACCCGATTTAGGAAATAATTTTAGTGGTCGCCCCCTGCTTACTTCCATGGTCGTTCATCAATCCATTCAACAAACAGGGCCTCACTCACCGGAGTTGGCGGGAAAAATTGTCCTCGTTCTTGAAGCAACCAAACACGCCAAATGAGAAAGGACAGGAATCGCAGGCATCCACTGGCTACACCAAGCGACCACGGCAGAGCTTTGAGGCTCGCCGACTTCAAATCGGTTAGGCCTTTATGAGAAGAACGGAGGTCGCCTGGGTATTCTGGAGAAAGGTCGGCGGGACACTATGTACACATTTTTTTTCAAGGATGACGGCCCCCGAGTTACCCCCCTATTGTTCCTCCAGCATATTCCACATAGCCCCTGTCAAATTCCGCGTACGGTCTCCTCATTGACTCGGCGCCTCTTCATTTCTCACTGCCTAGCACCGCGTGTGTATCTCGTCCGGGCTTCGAATGCGCGCCTTCCGGCTCCAACCCCGCTCATCATCGACAACGCGGATCCCGGTACGACGCTCTACTTCCTCGAGTCTTTTACAGCTGCTTCTCCGAGGCTTCCAAGCTTCATCGGAATCGGATATTCGCCACAGATCCCTTTCACGTGTCTCAGCGGGAGTCACCGCCTCTGTCGCGAAACGAGACTACTTACATACGTTGGCATCATGATAATTTATTTTTTCGGACACCCTCCTACATAAGTATTGTTCAATGTACTGTATTCTCCTAGATGGACGGGGTTAGACCGTTTTGAATGAATTGCGAGGATAACCGTGATCGTAACAATTGCACAGGCTCGGCTTGGCATATTCGGGGTTGACATGCTACCCTTTCATACTCGCCAGCTCAACGCGAGTTTCCCTCCCAAGCGGAGAATCCTTTCCCTTCAGACACTCCAATTGCTCTACAGCAAACCCGTTCTACGCTGGCTACCGTACCTTTTCGCTCTCGTCCTCACACTCTGGCTGTTCGGACCTTACCTCTTCGACTATACTCGGAATACTCTGCCGTTAAGCGCACCAGGACCAGCGACAGCTGAGGTCCTTTCTGCTAGAGCGCAGCAGGTCCGGGCGGCCTACGTCCATGCGTACACAAGTTACAAACGGGATGCTTGGACTTTTGACGAGCTGTTGCCGATCTCAGGCGGGAGTGTAAACAAGTGATGACCATCTGCATCTCTAGCCTTTTTGTACTGATTTTTCTGTAGCTTCAATGGCTGGGGCGTCTCCGTCTTTGATTCGCTAGACACCATGTGGATCATGGGTCTGTATGAATTCTTTGAGGAAGGTCTCCAAGCCGTTAGGGAAGAAACGTTCCAGATCGAGTCCGACAAGTTTGTGCCGTTCTTCGAGACTATAATCCGTTACTTGGGTGGTCTTCTGTCTGCCTACGCTCTCTCCGGGGAGCCGATATTACTTAAGAAAGCAGACGAGCTGGGGATATCGCTCCTACCCGCATTCAAGACAGCGTCGGGGCTCCCCATGTATGCAGTGAATCCGCAAACGTGAGTATTTCTTCGAGGTTTTCGTTTTATCATCAATTCCAAATCAGCGGCGAAACTCGAGGGGGATGGACTGGTGCTGTCCTTTGGTCTGAGGCACTCAGTAACCAGATGGAATAGTACGTCAAATATCCCTTGATCCTTGGCAGCTACCCTCATGCTTTCTGATAGCAAGTATCTCGCGCATTTGACAGGCCGCGCTGAATATTTCGAAAATGTTGTGCAGTACTTTCTCGTGTGCAGCATTTAGCTAATGTGGGGTTCGCAGACGGAAAAGATCATGGACATAATGTATAATGCTAGTATCACCGCGGGACAGTTTCCCACTCAATGGGACGCCCAAACAGGGAGACCTACGAATCGTGATAGTCCTTTTCCTTGGTTTCCAGCCAGCGCTGACTACCTGTAGAACACTTTTCTGTCGGGGCCTACGCCGACAGCGCTCACGAATATCTACTTAAGCAGTGGCTTCTTACCGCTAAATCGGAGCCCCACACCAAGGCCCTATGTGCGACGCTTTCCCAATCCTACTTCTTGTTATCTCTTATCGTGTTTAGATTTAAGAGCGGTCGAGTCGATAATTGACACGCTACTATATGTCACTCCCACCCGCAACCTGCTCTACGTTACGGACGTCACCAGCGGTACCCCAAGCTTCAAGTTTGAGCACCTCTCGTGCTTCCTTCCAGGCGTCCTAGCGCTGGGCGCTCAAACCCTTGACCTCCCGCTGCCCATAAAGGAACTCCACATGTGGGCCGCGGAGGGAATTGCCACGACGTGCTGGCTCACCTACGCAGACCAGGCGAGTGGCCTCGGACCGGACGAGATGACAATGACGCGCCCGACGGGCTCGTGGTCTAATGGCAAGTGGACGACGTTGCTTGCAGAGTGGGAGGCCGCCGGCAGGCCCGGTGGCGTTCCCCCTGGCCTTGGACCATCCAAGCCGGAGCGCAACGGGGAGGCGCGGGATTACATAGCACTCAAAACTACGTATCTGCTACGGCCAGAGGTTCGTCGCTCCCCTGCGCGGACATGCTGGTACTAACACATCTCCAGGCCGTTGAGAGCTTCTACATCCTATGGAGGACGACGGGGGCCGAGGTGTGGCGGGACCGTGGCTGGTAAGTGTCGTTTCAAACGTAGAGGGCAACCGTCCAATGTCTTTCTAGGGCGGTATTTGAAGCAATCGAAAAGCACGCACGTGTGGACCGTGGCTATGCCAGCGTCTCTACTGTGGATTCGCTTCCCGTGAAGCATTTAGATGAGATGCCTAGGTTCGTCATTTTTGTATCCTCACTTCCGAGGCTGATAGATAGTCTTGGCAGTTTCTTCTTGGCCGAAACGTTCGTCCATCGTCCTTGCAGCTCAATCCTCTTCGCTAACCCTGACATGCAGACTAAAATACCTATACTTGATGTTTGTCGACCAGGATATAATACCTCTAGACAAGTGGGTATTCAACACCGAGGCGCACCCGCTTCCCATATTCGAGTGGAGCTCGAGGGAGCGTGCGCTGTATAACATTCCTTCCACGGACGGAACGCAGGACAAGAAGCCGTTCCGTCCGCGGTAGTTTGGGAATGTGATCGACTGACACTCACTAATTTTATCGTTGTATTAATAGCTTGGAATGGGAATTATTACGCGCCGCCCGTATGCCATATACGCGCCCATGTACTGCGACGCACTCCATATGCATCAAGCCTGTCTCCTTGGCACGAAGTCGACGCTGGAAAGCTAGTTCTGTTGTTCAAAACGGTCATGCAATAAAACAAGGGAGGGTCCCCCTCAAAGCGTAAACCACACTTATGGAGAAGATGAAGCCTGAGGCCTGAGCTGCCCCTTGATGACCGCATCTCATGTGGGGAGTCAGCTGTGAGTTTGGAAGCATATATGCATGACAGCGGCGGCAAAAAGATGCCTTAAAGCCGGATTGAACGACTGACCTTAGCATCGGCCAAGCACTACGAGTGCTACGTTCTACCGCTGAACTAAGAAGGCGCCGAGCCCGCGAAATCTTTGTTCTGTCAGGACTTGGATCGGTGCAAAACCAATCCCGCAGGAGCCCTGCTGCCCGGGTGAATTAATATCTTCTCCCATGATGAACGGAACTGGCATCTCTAACCTCTTGCTTCACATGATTTCCTTTCTAAAGGCCCGCGTGGCCCAATGTTAAGGCGAGATTCAATGCGGACTTGGTTTTTTTTCCAGCTTTCATTGTTTCACGAGTACTCAGATGAAAGAGTGGGATTGGTTCAGATTGAATTCGACGGTCGACCCTTTCTTTGTTGTTTCTTGTTCCCGGGCCGAATAGCTCTATCCTCCTGTTTTCCATCTTCTTTCTGTAAAAAAAGGGTATCAGTTTATGCCTCTCGTGAATCTTTTGTACTCCAGTTTAATGGACGCAATTTTCAACTAACTTTGTTCGGGTGTGTTCGGCCGAGATGAGATACCTGGTCACGTGCTACTCTGAATTTTTCGCTTGACTCCTTCGGCTAATCGTCTTTTGCTTTCGCCCACGATGCCTGCTTCCCTCGGACGTGTCCTTCTTGCGTATTCTGGTGGCCTGGGTATGTTCCTTGCTGAGATAGATATGCAAATCTCAATAGTTATCAGATACTTCATGCATTCTCGCCTGGCTCATTGAGCAGGGATACGAGGTGTATGCATTCATGGCAGATGTTGGCCAAGAGGATGTTCGCACCCATCTGTTCATCATGTAATTTACTCACCCCTTACGCAGGACTTTGCTGCCGCAGAGAAGAAAGCCCTCAAAGTCGGCGCCAAGAAATTTTTCTTGGAGGTTTGCTCTGCTTCCACAATTCGTTGATTTCGTATTGAAGTCCAGTCCAGGACTTGAAGCGGGAGTTCGTCACTGAACTAATCTACCCCGCTGTCCAGGCAAATTGCATTTACGAGGTACGCGCCTTTTCGATTCGCATCGGGCTTAAGCTGAATGAATGCAGAACGTTTACCTCCTCGGGACGTCTCTCGCTCGCCCCGTTATTGCCCGTGGCATGATCGCCGTCGCAGATCGGGAAGGATGCAAGTGAGTGGTATCCATTCTGGTTATCTGCCTCTCCACAACCGTTACACCGTCAGCTATGTATCCCATGGCTGCACCGGAAAGGGCAATGACCAGGTTCGCTTCGAATTAGCATTCTATGGTCTCAAGCCCGATATCAAAGTCATCGCGCCGTGGCGATTACCTGGTATTTATCTCTCTCTCTCTCAGATAGAAATGCACTGATATGGAAATAGAATTCTACAACCGCTTCCCTGGTCGCCAGGCCCTTCTTGAATATGCCGCCAAGAGCAACATCCCCGTGGTTCAAACTGCCTCGAAGCCGTGGTCGACTGACGAGAACCTTTTCCATATCTCTTACGAAGCCGGTATCCTTGAAGACCCCAACGTCACGCCGCCGACAGACATGTGGAAATTGACCGCCGCCCCCGAGGAGGCACCCGAGACGCCTGAGCGGATAACCATCGAGTTCACCGCAGGGCTTCCCACGAAGGTCACCGTCCCCGCCACCGGCAAGACGTATACCGATGCCGTGGAAATATTCCTCGCACTCAACGCCCTGGGGCGCACCCACGGCATCGGGCGGATCGACATAGTCGAGAACCGTTTTATCGGCGTCAAGTCGCGCGGATGCTACGAATCGCCTGGCGCGACGATCCTGCGCGCCGCTCACGTTGATCTCGAGGGTCTTACCCTCGACCGTAACGTGCGTGCTCTGCGCGATCAGTTCGTCACCATCGAGCTGAGCCGCATGCTCTACAACGGGCACTTCTTCACGCCCGAGCGCGAATTCATCGTCAGCGCGATCCCCGCGAGCCAGCGCACGGTGAACGGGCTCGTTCGGCTGAAGCTGTACAAAGGCAACGTTGTCGTCGAGGGGCGCGAGAGCTCCGAGGGGCTGTATGACGAACGCCAAAGCTCGATGGACGAGATGGGTGGGTTCGAGCCAACGGATACGACAGGATTCATCCAGATTGAGTCTATTCGAATCAAGAAGTGTGTGTTGAGCTACCACTGTGATATGACGCTGATTTCGCTGCAGATGGGCGCAGGCGAACATTCGCCGGGGCCAGGCCGGCGTTACCCCGAAGGATGTGTATGGAACCCGTGTCTGAGTACTCCGCGGCGAGGCTCGCCTGAGAGCCGTATTAAGAAGTATCGTAGCAACTCACCTACTCCACCAAGTGCTGTGTTAGTTTTTAGATTGCATCTATATTTTGGAGCGGAGTCTGACACGGTCACGTTGTGTAATATTATATCCTCCGTTCCACGACATGTAAGGTCAGTTTTTTGTCTCCCATCGCGACGTGGTCGACTAAAGTATCCACGACCACAAACTCGTTCTTCTGTAGCAACTTCAAACTGCCGTAATTCCCTTCGAATGCAGATGTACGGATGTATTTGACTCCCATCCACGCGATGCCCCACTGTATCATTGCCTTGACCGCGGTGGTCATCAATCCCCGCTTATGGTGGGTCGGCGATAGGTAATCTGAGGTCTGAAGTTAACGACGCACAGACTCCACCTCAGGAAAGAACATCATACAGCCGACGTGCCACACAATATCAGGATCCCCCGCAACGCGCGCATTGTTCTCTGCAACGAGGCGCGCGCGCTCCTCCCTGTCGAGCACATCGCTCCAGCTTGACCGGTAGATTCCAACGTCGCCGATGAACACCTCCGTCCCATCCTCTTGCACCTCGCGGATGTGGCGCACCGGACATTCGCTGAACGGACCGCTGTTGCGGCCCATCTCATCCAGTATCCCATCGGTCTCTGCCTTGAGTTTGGTGAGCCACCCCTCCGCTTGGGATGCAGTGTACGTTCCTGTCGGGCCCATGGGTCCCATCCAGAGGGAGACCGCGGGATCGCTCAAGATCGCCACGCTCGGCTCGACGTCGCTCATCCGTGGCGGGGTGATGATGATGTTGGAGAACGGTGCGGGCAGGCGTAGAAATGGCTCGCCCGTTGCGGCGTTCAATTCCAGCGGCTGCATTCTGAGTATAGTGGTTTGTGCAGAGGTAAGTTAGTGCTTCCCACACGGTGTGTTTCGCCCGGTATATAGCTACGATCCCGCTTAGCAGGATCAATAGGGGAAGGCAAAGCGGTCAAGGACGGTCGATGAGTCACAATATTCTGTAAAACCCGAGTCTTGTCAGAATTCAAGACGGTCAGAGTCGGCGCTGGCAAGAATTGGAGCGAGAATCGCCGATTTTCGAGTTCCTCCTCCGGAGAAGGAACACCAATTCTGAAAATCAGTCAATTCTCAACGGAACCCCATCCAAGAATAGACGACAGAATCAAGGTTGGAGCGTGAATCGGGCTTCCCTGACCGCTTTTACTTCCCCTAATGTAGCTTAACCTAGGACCGAAGAACTAATCGGCTTTTGAATGGTTTTCTTTTTCTTTTTCAAGGCAGCCAGACAAACCCAGTTGAAACCTTCAAGGACTCCGTACAAAAGATCCGGAAACATATCCTCAACGAAAACCAATCGGATCCCCACTTTCGTAGAAAAGATGAATCAATTTCCGTAGTATGTACTAGTAGTCAACCACGGCTGTTCGTATGAATCGCCGAGTTAGCATTGGCCGAGTCTGCGTAACAACAGGTTTTAAATCTCGACCCCCAAGTCGAGTATTCACTTGGAAAACGACGCTGTCAACTTGCCAAGTGAGGGGCGCTTGAACTTGGAAGGTGAACAATGTCTCACCACAAGTTCCCACGGTTCAAAAACTCGAGAGCAAATACCAACCTCCATGGGTAGCACAATTACGAATGGAACCAAGCGTTCAAATCAGTCATAATGAAATTCTTCGCACAGACACAATAATTGCCAGTATGAGCATAGTATCTACGCACTGGGAGAGAGGTACTTCGCCACGATGGTGTTCACCCTCGGATCGACTTTGTTTAGAATATCCAGGGTGTCCTCCTGAATGTTACGATTACGATCAAGCTCTCATCATAACTTCAAAAAATCGAAAGGAACGAACCCAAATCAGTTCCTGCGTCTTGACACCCTGGGGACTCAGGATGAAGTCGCTGACTTCCTGCACGTGGAACCCGGTAGTGATGTATTCTCCGCGGAGTTTCACGGGGTCGTTATGTTCTGCGAGCGCCGCCCATACGAGGCGCCGGCTGCCTACTTCCGCTGAGAAAGCGAGCAGGAACTCCATCACGCGGTCAGCGACGGCGAGCATTCCTGTGAAGCTCCGCCGGAGCTCGGAGTAGCAGTATCTATGCGCACGGGACGATTGAGATTTTGTTGTGGCAGTTCAGGAGAAGGAAATAGCCGCACCCAGGGCTCACGGCGTTGATGATCACGGGCGTCGAAGATGGGAGGTGGGCGTTCAGGGCTCGGATGAAGAAAATGTTGACAACTTTGCATCCATATAATCAGCGGCTCATCGACTGTGTGGGACATACGTTTAGTGAGGGGGTATCTTCCTTCCATGCCACTCCTAGAAATAGATCAGCTCAGTTGTCCACACGAACGAAGAAATTCGAACTTGGTGCTGCAGTATTCAGCGCCTCCGATGGTCTTAATGATTTCCGGATCATCCACGACGGGTTTTTTGATGTCGATCCAGTAGAACGCCCCGCTCGAAACCACCACGATTCGGGGATAGGTGGAGTGTTCCCGAGCGGTGTTGATCATGGAAGGGAGCAGTAGGAGGGCCAGGAGCGAGGTGGAGAGATGGTTGACTTGAATACTGTGCGTTGAGATTAGATTTGAGTGGACTCGGCCGTCCTAAATAACAGCCACTAACCTTGACTCCCACCCGTCTTTCGTGGGCTCGAACTTGAGCATCCCGATGGCAGCGTTGGCCACAAGGATATCCAATCTGCCGCCCTCCTGCTCGAACTTGGTCGCAAACTGCTTCACCGAGTCAAAATCGGCGAGGTCAAGGTTCCACAGCTCTGCGTTTCCATAATCCATATCGGCCTTCAGTTCTGAATAAAGTTGGCCAGGT